GTATATCCCTATTATGATTTCTGATATTTTCCGTATTCTTTTTTTCCGATTCTGGTGAACAGATATCGATAGGAAAATCCTTCCATCCATAACGTATATAAATAAAAATTCCGGAAATTTTAAAATGATCGTTATATCAATTACGACGAACCTGAGGCTCGGCCGTTTGACAGATCACGCTTGCGACCGTGTTCGTGTGTCCAACCAGCGTGTGTACATTCGCTTTCGTCCTCATGTCCCAAACCCTACCCGTGGAATCTCTGCCGGCTGTGACCAGCACGTCGATGCTTGGATGCAGGGCCATTGAGTAAACAGCCGACAAGTGGCCGTGGTAATGTCTTATCACCTTGAAACGAGTAACGAAACGGGTTTCGATTAATATAAAATAATAATAAAAGCTTCCGTGTCCCTTACTTTGTTGTATTCAAGGTCCCAGCACTTGACCTGCCTGTCCTCACCGCAGGAGAACAGATACGGATGTCTCTGGGAAAACGCGAGCCCCCTCACGCTGCTTATATGCCCGGTCAACGACACCTTCAACTTCCCGCTAGCCAGATCCCATATCTAAAATCCGAATTGAAATCGTTAGCCAATTCGTTAAGGAATTTTTATTCAACACGTTAAGCGCAAGTGTCAGTCATTGGTGACTGACAGTATGCTTCTCATTCAAGCCGCCCATTTATAGAAATTGAGCGTATCATTAATTACCTTGATGACTCTGTCTGCGGACCCGGTCGCGAACCACTCGTTTCCAGGCTCAACCGCGCAGCACCTGACCCACCCTAAATGCCCACTGATCACCCTGTACAGCTTCCAAGGAGCGTGCCACTTCGGTTTAGCCATCGAAGGTGTTTTTTTCTGTTGAGCAATCATCGCGTTGCCCCCGGGAATCGAATTCGGTTGGTTGCTACTCGTCAGGCTTCCTTGCGCAGGATTGTAAGGCACAACCGAGCTGCCGCTACCTCTAAACGATTCGTCTGAAATTTTTAATGAATCGAAAGGCATTCAATAGAAGTTCAATGGAAGTAAAGCAAACTTTATGGAATGATTACCGCCTGGCAGTGGAGGGTTGTTGTTCTCGTTCTCACTTCCAGGTTTTTGAAGGCTACTTTTAACTCTCTCTAATACAGGTCCATATGAGTCCTTTGCTTTCACAGATTTCTTCATCTTTTGTCTGTGAAAGGATAAAATGAGATAAAAATGTTGCTTCTTCTTTTAGATTTGTGTAACTATGCTTACAAGTCTGAATTGACAGGTGGCAGACTGCCTTGGTTCAATAGGAACATGTCGTGTGTCCTTTTTAGAGAGCGGAACACCAGTGTGTGCACTGAATGCCTTTGGACGTCCTAAATAATACAGGAACGTGTCATGTTAGTAATGTTAAATTCAAAATAAGATCAATCGGTAGTAATTAAAGTCCAAAATATTACAACGATATCGGATTGGCAATAATTTTGATTTTACCAAATAATGAAATTAGTTTGTTGCCAACTCGAGTTACCGAAACCGTACGAAACAACGATGTAGATTAACATCTTCCGAGATGAATTTTTTCGAGTGAAAATTTTTAGATTAGACTTATTTCTCATTATTATGAAACGTAATTATTTCTCGCTTGGTATAATTATTTTCAGCAGAACTGAACGTACATGTATGAAATAATTGTACTCGAAGAGGTTAACATTCGTGAAACACTATTATTCTTACCATTGTCATTTCTTTGCTGCATGAACTTCGATATAAATTAAACTCAACGCTCGATGTACATGCTTTAATTACACTCCATTTTTTATTTGGTCGATCACTATTTACAAACACGATTCTCTAAACCTGTTGTTTACAATAGGTTATTGTCATCGTCGACATCGACTCAACAACGCAACGCAACCATAGAGTTAGTATAGATAGAGTACGCAAGACATAGGCCCGTCCGTACATGGACCTAAAGGCAGTGATGTAAGATTTGCGGAATTTCGATCGCCGCGCGTACGGTGAGGAAAAGTGGAACTAAAAGTCTTGATGTAAGATTTTGCGGATTTTTCCGCCCATAGCGTAGACCCAGTCTAGCATGCTGTTATGTCTTAGCTTTAAAGTTTGAACCTAGCCGCGCGCGTAATTTGAACGACGTACCACTACACGCGTAATTTTTCCGTATACGTGTATCAGGTAGACGGCAAGACCCAAACTGCA